AAGAGAGGAGCAGAACTGGTGAGCCAGCAGCCTTTGCTGGGGTGAGCAAAAGAAATGGGGAGACACTGGAAGCTGGCTCGTGTCCCCTGCCCAGGGAGGTGACTTGCTCCAGGTTCTGAATTTCGGCTGCTGCTGCCCCTGCTCTGAGACAGTCCTGCATTAGATGGTTTGCATATCACTTGTTCCTCACAGCCACCCCTCATAGAGGTGGAGCAGCAGCCGAAAATCAGAGTGTAACATCTTCTCGGCCCTCAAAACCCTGCTCTCCTGGTCTAGCCTATGGCTGGGAAGTGAGGAGAGCTCCTGGGAACAGCCCCCACTGCTGCTACCTCTGCAGCAAGGAGGGAGGAGCTGGACTGAAAAAATGGACAGGAGGCAGGCTGGGAAAATTCCCACATCTTCAGCCCCTGCCGGCACCTCCCAGAGCTCCAGAGAGGCAGGCCCACCTCCATTTATTGAGGCTCCCAAGGTACTAAAATAAGAAGAAATGCCAAAGCAGGGATACCAAAGTTGTGGTATGTTTTAAAGGCTTGCAACAAAGAAACCAACGCTCTAATAATTCACATGCAATACAACATAAATATGCTAATCAAAAGCCAAATTGAGGCTTTACATATAAATATCCATTAATGCCACAACATATATTAGTGAAATGGTTTAGCAACAGGACCCAGATTAAAGATGTGTGATGAGCACTGTTCTCTTTCAATTCTGTCGGCGATCTCTTGGATTGGATTTATAAAACCTTTTGGAGATAACAGCAGAAGTTGAAATTTGAGGCCTTTTGCAAATGAGAGTCATGGGCCGATATGATTCTAATGCTTAACTTTCCTCCCTCCATCCCGCTTTCCCCACCTCCAGACCCACCAAGCCTCCTTGTCAATCCTCCAGTCTCACGCAGATGCCCCCACCCCAAATCTCCCCTGTGATTCCAATCATCGGATCCACAAAAAACCCTCCTGTCCAGGAGCAGGGTCTCCTCCTGCTGAGAGAGGAAGGCTGCAGGCTCTTCGATTACTGCTGCATAGACTGGAAAGACTGATGGAGCTGCCTGCACAGCTAAGTGGCAGAGGCCACTCTCCACATCTGGGCTTTTTTTCTCTCTTCCTGCACTCTTCCTCCATCCCTCCTTGTGAGTGCCTGGCTCCTTGGGACCCTGTGCAAACACTGTTGTTGTTACAAATGTCTAAACCCACTTGACATTTAGTGTAGCAGAGACCCTGCAAGGAACTAACTACATGCTCAGTGGTGGAATTCACTGCACCAAAAGATTAGATGGTTCCACTGCGTGCCTACAAATCTCTATTGCTTTGAAAATGATTAGAAAAGGAAAAAAGATCAGGCTTTTTCCAGATGCCCCCAAAAGACAGTCAGTCAAAGGGTGTATTATTCACCGGAACACATGCCTGCAACCAAGACAACATCTGGGCAAGCAGAGATTAATATTATATTAATTCACTCATTCAACCATTCACTCCACCAACATCCACTGCCTGCTGCTTGTGTCAGGTACTGAGCTAGGTGTCAGGTACACAGCTATGAATAGGACATGGTCCTTTTCTTTCACCATCAGAGGATGAAGTAGGTGAACATAACTAGGGACAAGGAGAGAGCTGAGTAAACACTACCCTGGGGTCTCATAGTGTTGAAGGTAGCCGGCTTAGTGTGAACCTGTCACTCAGGGCCAAGGTGTCAGCGCTCCTCTCCCTATCCACTCTTCCTTCCTTGAATTCTGCCTTCTTCCATCCTCTGCCTCACTTTTCCTCCCACCTCCCTGTCCTCTTCTCCTCCTACCCTCAAGCTCTGGGTAAACATAAAAAGCACACACATTCTTATGCCACAGGCTCCCTCAGCCCTCAAAAGCTGTCATTCTTCATGCAAATGCCTGCTTTACACATGCTTTGCAATTTATTTCCATTCCAACCTTCAAAAGCAGAGGGACTTATCAGTAAATATCATAAATGCTTGATTTTTTTTTAAGCTGCAGCTACAACAGCAAGTGGCTGACAAGGTTGGCTCTGCACATGCACAGCACTGAATGAAGCCCCATGAGAAGCAGGAATCGTTAGAGCTCTAGAGTTTAGCTCAGTTCCCTGTGTCGAGGTAGCTTCTATCTGTGTCAGTCAGTGCGTCACAACACCAGCCTCCTCCACCCGCCGCACACAGCACCCCTTAGCAAGCGCCTTCCCACACAATATCATCAACTGTAAAAACTGCAACCGTCGCCAAAGTTACAACCGCGGTTATTTCTACAAACGGGAGGGATGCGGTCTGCTCAGTCAGTCCCTGGTAAGTAGGTTACCCATGGGACAAACACGTTTCCTTTAAGTTAATTCAGAATGCCCTTGGCTCAGCTATCTATCCACGCAAGAGACCAATATCCTGGAATAAAATGTTTGTTTGCATGTATGAGATTCTTTCTGCGTGCTGGTATAAGAAACGGAGGCTGGGTCCACACACTCTGTAGTCTGTGTGAGCAGCTGTAAAGTCCTCAGCTGCCTGATTTTAATACACTTCACCTTGAAAAATTATCTCCTTCATGAAAAATGGCTTAGTTAGACTTCACCTTATATGAACCTTTGAGTTAGCCCTAGGCCCTCTGCCTCACCAGGCCCCGTGTAAGCTTTGTTCAAATGCTCCTTTCTGCACTGCCTCCCTCACCTTTCCCTCTAGAGCTTTCCATCTGCTTGTGATTTTCAATTTTGCTATAAATTGTAACTCTATTCTCTGAGATGGCCCTCAAGACCATCCCAATGGCTGAGAAAACTCATAGCCCTTACAAAAAACGAACAAAGCATCCCTATATCCCACCCCATACCATCTCCCCTGCACCCAAAGAATCTGTCCTAATAGTTTGCGTCACTGCTATCACTTTAAATGAAAATTTTCTTATCGTTATATTAATCATAGCACCCAGGATACTGCATAAAATAATGAAAATCTGAATGGAAGATTTTTGAACGCTTACTGACGCAGTATGCTGCGACCAGCTAGTAAAACAAGATAACACCATTTGGGGGGAGGAATATATTAAATATTATCATCTATCACCAAAAGAAAAAAAAGAAATGAGGTTTACTATGAATGTAAAGATTAAGACCAAAGAAGCAAAAAGAATATTGAAATCACCACTTTTATATGTGTGTATTACACATATTCAGAATTCAGAGTTATATTAAAGGAAATTTTCACAGAATGGAAAGGAATCACAGGAGAGGGGGTGGGAGAGGGTTTTTTTGACTATTTTCAAAAAATGATTTATGGTGTCAGGAGCGTCAAGAAGGAAGCCTGGGAGAGAGAGGTGGATGAGAACATTGAGTGAGCAGCTCGAAGAGGAGCGCCTTGGCTCCAAAAGCAGGAGGCAGGAATGGAAACACAGAGCACTCCTTACCGAGAAGAAGTTTACATTCACGCCAAGAAAGTGGGTGAGCATCGCAGCGTAGAGCCAGACTTCCCCTGCCTGACTCACAAGACGGGCTCTGGTATTTTAGACCCCCGCAGAGGGACCTGCGGAGATTCTCTCTCGGTGGCACCAACCCAAACTCTGATTCATCATCGGTTTGGGAAAGGCCCCTTTTCGGTCCTCTAAAGGGGTGGTGTCTTTGTGAAACTACTATTTACACACAAGATGGCAATCCCTCAAGGGAGGTGGGGACGTCGGTTTTGGAAGGGTACAGGAAAGCCTAGAGAGTGCTGGTTACTTCCTTTGAAATCAGAGAACATCTCTAGGAAGAGGATGGATGTTGGTCTGCTGACCAACTGTCAAGGGGTGTGTGGCCCACAGACAGCCTGCTCCCCAACACTCTGCTGTCAGCCACAGGCTCCAAACTTCTTTCTCAGAATGAGACAGTTTCAGGAAAAGAAACCATGTTTCTTTCTCAACCAAGGCCAGAGCCTCTCCCTGGAAGCCTGAGGGGTCCCACTCCTTGCCAGGCAGCAGTGCAGGCTGGGTCCCACATCGACTTCTTCAGGTGAAAATGGCTCTCCTGAAGCCAGAGTTCAGCATCTCCGATTCCCAGAATTACACCCACGTACTCTTGGCCTCCTCCGTGGCTCTAAGGCACCCTGACTTCTGTCACCCTCCCTTCACCAACAAAGGTGTTTCTGACCTAAGGTGTTTCTCAAGGTGCTTTGATCAGGGGTAAGAGGACCCCAGACCCAAAAAGGGCTAAAAACAGCAACAGTTGCCCCTGGAGGTTTGGGTCTTTACAGGCCTATCTTGTCTCGGCACTCCGGCACAGAAATACCCGGGATGCCTGCCCATGGACAGAGCTGGTCTCTGACCAGGCCTTCGGGCCAGGCTGGAGCACCAGTGCCTGGCTTCCAAAGGAACTTCCCCTCCCTGTCATGGGTGGCTCATCTTGAGTGACCTGAGCATAAGATGTTGCCAAATGCCCCGAGGAGAGGAGAAGGCGCCTTCTTTTCCGCTACCAGATCCGGAGGGTCAGGAAAGGTGCTCCCTGAGAAGGGTCAAGGAAGGTCAGGAGCCCCACTCCAGTTCAGAGACACCTGGGAAAGAAGGTCTCCGCGCCAGAGTGGGTCACCTAGGGAGGCGCCGGGCAGATCTGCCCCCCCGGAGACTGGAGCCGCGTTTACCCAAACCAGCTCTCCTGGAAAGCCAGCGGGGGCGGCGCGCCCGAGCAGGGCAGCCCACCACCCGCGGCTGGTAGCCAAGGTCGGGAAAGTTGGTCCTAGAGCCCCGCGGGCCTGCCGGGCGCTGTCCAAGGTTCTGAAAGGTCTCCGCGAGCAGCGGGCGGGCGGCTCTGCGCGCCCTCAGCCTCCCGGCCACCCGCTCTGCCCTTCCAGCCTCCCGCCCTGTCCCCTTCCCGGCCGCGCAGAAGCCTCCGTCCCTCCTCTGCGCCCACGAAGCCCTCCCCGTTCGGGTGCCCCCAACTCCGCCGCACCGGGCCCCGCGCCCCAACGCGTCCCGGGCCGCCCGACCCCTGTCCCCAGCAGCCACTTCCAGGCGCCGCGGCGCTTTCACCGCCGCCCCTTCCTACCTTCTTCTTTCGGTCACGGGAGCGGTTTCTCCGCTTCCTGTTGGATTCCTCCTTCTCCTTCTGCTCCTGGAGGGCCTGCGCCTCGATGTCTTTGATTTTCTTCAGCTGTTTGGCCGCTTGAGCCATGGCGTGTCACGGCGCTCCCGTCCCCGCCTCCTGAACCCCTAGCGCTCAGCGATCCCAGAGACGACACCCCCTAAGAAGGGGAAGGGGTCTCTGCTCCGCCGAGGGGACAGCGTCCGTGGCGCGCCGCGGGCCGGCTGCGGCGGGGCCGCGGGAAGGCGAAGGCAGCTCCGGGCGCGGAGGGCGAGGCGCGGCTGCCCGCGGCCCGGGATGGCGCTGCCGCCGCGGCCGGAGCTCGCTCGCCGGCGCCCGGGACGGGCTCTGGGCTGGGCCCGCCGCCTCCCTCCCTCCGCCTCCCTCCCTCTCCTGCGGCGGCGGCGGCGGCGGCGGCGGCGGCGGCGCGGGGGGGCGGGGGCGGGGAGGCGGCTTGTACTGCGGCGGCGGCGGGCGGTGAGCGGCCGCGGAGGGGGCGGACTCCGGCGCTCAGCGCGGGAAGGCCCGGGGGCCCGGCCGGAGCGGCGAGGCTGGGCGCGCTGGGCGTCCGCACGGGGTCATAGCTAGCGCCAGGCTTCCGCCTTTGCAGAGCCCCTCGCCGTCGGGCGGCGGGAACAAAGCGGCCGCTTTACCCCGGACCCCGCCGCGGGCCGCAGGGCCAAGCCGGGGAAAGAGGGCAGGCTGCGGCGGGCGGCGCGCCCCGCGCCCGGTCGACCCGGCGGACCAGCGCGCCTGGCGGCGGCGAGCGCGGCGACATCGCGGGAGCGGAGGCTCTGCCGGGAGGGCAGGCTCTGCCGGGAGGCCAGGCGGCAGAGGGCGGGGGGCGGGCCTGGGGCGCCCCGGGGCGGCGGCCCCTGAGGGCCCGGACGCGCCACCCCAAAGCCAGCCGCGCGGTTCCGCCCCGGGCGCCCTCGGCGGGGGTCGCGCGCCTCCGGGGCTCCCTGGGGAAAAGCCAGTTCCCCGAGTCGCGCGCTGGGAGCTTGATTTGCCCCTTTCAGGCCATGTGGGCCTTTTCATTTGCATATTTCCCAATTATAGATGAAAACGTGTCCAGGATCAAGTAAATTGTTTTCCTTTGAGTCTTTTTGGGACAGAAGTGGAACTAGGTTCCCGCTCCAGGCCCGCCCGCCCTCCATCCCCGGCGCTCCCGCGCACCCCTCCCTGGGGACGCCGCCTGCGCCCGTGCCCCGCGGGGAAGAGCTGCACTTGGGTCCGCAGCGCCAACCCAGCCTGCGGCAGGCGGAGGGGGCCTCGGGCTCAGCCAACCACCCCGTCACGCGGCACAGGAGCCAGCCGGGGTCCCCGGCTCGGGAGCTACCGCCCACCCACTACCTCTCCATCTCGTGGGATGAGCTCTTTTTCCACAAACGGCTAAGGAAGGAGTTGTGAAAAACAATATTTGAGACTCGGAGAAGAGTTATTATGAAATAGTCTGCCTCCTTCTGCCTTCCCTAAGCTGAGGGCTTACTGTAGACATTTACCCAGCCAGGCTAGAGCCCAGAAAGGAGGCGTCTACCAAGCTGCAGAGAACGACGTCCTGGGCCTGCGAGCTGGGCCCCACGCTGTGCAAACTTGGGAGCAACTGGGCCTTGTCTCTGACCCCTGCAGCCCGCAAGCGCTGCCTCACAGGACCTCCCCCCGCCTCCCACCACCCCCCTCCCCCACGCCTCTGCCCTTCCAGCCCCTTCTCCACCTGCAGTCTTCCGGCAGAAGCCTTGTTTTGAAGACGATTTCCCAGGGCTGGGTCCTGGACTGAAGTCTCCTCACTCTGGACACCGTGCAACCCACAAATCCCAATTTCATATGGAATTTAAATTTGCAAGTAGCCATATCTTTAAAAAAAAAAAAGAAAGAAAGAAAGAAACTGGTAAAATGAATTTTAATAATACATTTTAATTCAATATATTCAAAATATTTCATCGGCATGCAATGGATTTATTATGAATAAGGCATTTCACATTTTTACTAAGCTCAACATTCAGTGTGTATTTCACACTTACAGCATACCTAAATTCAGACCTGGCACATTTTAATGGCTTAATAGTTACATTTGACTAGTGGTTACTCTATTACACAGCACAGCTCTAGACTGTCTCCCCAGGCCAACTCACCCCCTGGCCTGGGCTGTAATCAACCTACCGACAACACACGTATTTTACCTCCAGCACAGCCCTCTTCCTTGAGCACGGGCCCCAGGGCCACTGTTCCCCTGGGCCTCCTCACAGTCATGTCTCCATTCCCTCTGGCCACCCACCTGTCCACCCTCCACTGCAGGATGGACTGCACATCACAGATCTGGCTATTGTCACTTCTCCACTTAGCATCCTTCCTTTTTGCTCCTGAAGATCAGAATCTGTTACACCGCCTATGAAGACCTGAATGATCAGGCCCTTCCTACCCACTGACTCATCTCGCCCAGGTCTGTGCCGGTCCCTGTGCTCCAGCCTCAGCAGGCTTTAAGCAGGTCCATGTCGTCCCTCTACCAGGCTGCTGTGTCCTTGATGGCCCCTGCCCAGACTGCCCTGTGTCCTCTCCACCCCCATCCCCAGTCTAGCTAACTCCAACTCACTCATCAGATTTCACTGCGGTCTTCACTTCCCTGGGGTCTCCAGACTGGCTCTATCCTCTTGCAGTAACATCATGTGTGCCTCCTTCATGACACATGTAATTTTACATTAGTGTGGTTGATTGGATTCATGCATAGCTCTCTCACTAGACTTGAATCTCCATAAGGGAAGGGGTAGTGTCTGGTTTTGCTCACTGGTATCTGCAGCAGTTGCATAGTGCCTGACAAATAGTAGGGGCTTGATAAACATGTGTTGAAGAAATTCACAGGTCTACTGTGTCCTGGTTTAAGGAATAATCATTAAAAAATAGCAGCATTTCCATTGCACCAAGCATTATCACCATTTTACAGATAGGAAAGATGAGGCACAGAGAGGCTGAGTAACTTATTCAAGGTCACACAGCTAGTAAATAGTGGAGCTGCCTGTAATCCCAGTGCTTTGGGAGGCTGAGGCTGGGGGATCACTTGAGCCCAGGAGTTCAAGACCACCTTAGGCAACATAGTGAGACCCTGTCTCTACAAAAAATAAAACAATTAGCCAGGCATGGTGGCTCATGAGTATTGTCCCAGCTACTCAGGAAGCTGAGGTAGGAAGATCACTTAAGCCCAGGGGTTTGAGGCTGCAGTGAGCTATGATTGCACCACTGCACTCCATTCTGGGTGACAGGGCGAGACATTGTCTCTAAAAATAAAATAAAATAAAATAAAATATAGCGGAACCAGAACTTGAATCCTGAGCAGCTGGCTGTGGAATCTTAACCATTGCACTGCACTAAATCACTCCATTTCCTTATCTATAAACAAGAGTGCTGATATTACCTCCTTCGAAGGATTGTCAGGAGGACCAGAAGAGAAAGAGAATGTTAAATGTTTCAGTAAAACATCAAGCGCTGTACAGAGTGTCAGTTTCTTCATGGACTAGTTGGTGTCTAAGGCTCCTTCAGCCCCAGAACCGTGATTCCTCCTGTAGATCTAAATCTTTATAGAAGCCTTTTGAAGATTAGAAAGAAACAATAATCTCTCTGACTCAAAGGGAATATATTATCCTTAAGGAACAGCAGACAGCACTTGGTAGATAGGAAAGTCTTGCCTGAGTCCCCCTCATATCAACACTTAGAGTGGTGACTGTGGCCCTGAATATTCAAAAATCTCAGTTGGGGTACAATGAGAGTCCTGTTCATGTCCCTGGTCTACTTATGAGGTAGCTCCCCTGTATCCTATTATATATTGGGAAGATTTCAGGCTGAGAAAGAGAAAGTGGGAATGTAGTATTGAAGCTATGGTCCGAAGCCTCTAACAGGCTGATCTGGACACCATGAGAGTGATAAGTAAATGGTGGGAGCTCTAGCTGAGTTCCTACTGAAATGAGGGACCAGGGCAACACCAGCATCTCAGTAGCCAGAGGAGCTTCCTCACTCCTGTTCAGAGAAAAGATGATGCAACCCTTCTCCATACTCCCCATTGCAACAGACCATCATCATCATCATCACTAGCATCATCGCCATCATATTCATCCTCACCATCACCATCATCACCATCACCATCACCATCATCACCATCACCAGCATCAACATCACCAGCATCATCACCATCATCATCATCCTCATCATCACCATCATCACCATCACCAGTATCATCATCACCAGCAGCATCATCACCATCATCATCATTCACATCATCATCACCATCATCACCATCACCAGCATCATGACCAGCATCATCATCCTCATCATCATCATTCACATCATCATCACCATCACCATCATCATCACCATCATCACCATCAGCAGCATCATCATCAACATCATCACCATCACCAGCATCAACGTCACCAGCATCATCATCATCATCCTCATCATCACCATCATCATTATCTCCATCATCACCATCACCATCATCACCATCACCACAATCACCATCACCAGCATCATCATCACCAGCATCATCACCATCATCATCATTCACATCATCATCATCACCATCATCACCATCACCAGCATCATCACCAGCATCATCATCCTCATCATCATCATTCATATCATCATCATCACCATCATCACCATCACCATCATCATCACCATCATCATCACCATCACCAGCATGAACATCACCAGCATCATCATCATCATCATCATCCTCATCATCACCATCACCATCATCACCATCACCAGCATCATCATCACCAGCATCATCATCACCATCACCAGCATCAACATCATCAGCATCATCATCACCATCATCACCATCACCAGCATCATCACCAGCATCACCATCACCAGCATCATCATCACCGTCATCACCATCACCAGCATCATCACCAGCATCATCACCATCATCACCATCATCACCATCACCAGTATCATCATCATCATCACCATCACCAGCATCATCATCACCAGCATCATCATCATCACCATCACCAGCATAATCATCACCATCATCATCATCATCACCATCATCACCATCATCATCATCCCATCATCATCATCACCATCATTATCATCCCATCATCATCATCACCATTGCCATCCCTATCATCATCATCAGCAACATTGTCATCACCAGCATCATCATCACCAGCATCATCATGACCATGATCATCATCCCCATCATATCACCATCATCATCCCCATCATCATCATCACCACATCATTATCACCATCATCACTATCATCACCATCATCATCATCCCCATCATCATCACTATCATCACCATCTCCAGCATCATCATCATCCCCATCATCATCACCATCATCACCATCTCCAGCATCATC